GCCTTTATTCTTGCCCTGGGCCTTTCTTTAAATTGGGGGGGGGGGAAGTTCTGTACTGTGCTGCACTTCTTTCCATCCATTTTATCCAATGACATTAAATGCAAGGGGCAGTGTCTCAACTTTAAAAGGTGTGCTGCCAGACACCCTGCATAATGCCTGACCTGTGGCCTGATGGTTTGAGCCCTGTGCTAGGAAGTTAGAGAGAGGTAGGTTCAACAAGTCTCTAGTGAAAGGGTCCTTGAAATCAGGCCTCTGAATTTGTGGGAAAGTGCCTGAACCCCACAGCTATTTGGGCTAAAATGTGAGAGGGCTGCCCTCCTGTTTCTTTCAAGATTTACACTCAGGTACGTCTGCCTGGCCAGTGTGTTGCCTACTGCACATGTTCAGTAGCTATTTGGACGCTTACATATCCACACTACATGAGTAACAGAATCATGAATCATGATTAAGTGACAAAAATGTCACTTAGAGCCAGACAACTGATCTGGGTACATAAAGTGAAATAGAATTCTGCCCCTAAAGTTTAATGAGGTATTAAATAGCAGCCAACATTGTTTTGTCAAAAACAAATTGCATGTAACCTGATTTCCTGCTATGACAAGGTGATGGGTTTTGTGGAAGGGGGGAAGCAGTGAATGTGATGTACATTATTTTTATCAAGGTTTTCAATGCTGTCTCTCATGACTTTCACATAAGCAAGATAAGAAAGTACAGTCTAGATTAATTTCTTGTAAGGTAAGGCATGAGTGGTTGGATTATCACCCTCAAAGAGTAATCATCAACGGTTCAGTGTGAAACTCAGAGGAAGTGTCAAGTGAGGTTTCCTAGAAGGTTTGTTTTGGGTCTAGTACTGTTCACTATGGATGGATGATGGACATAAGTGTATACTTAGTAAACTGGAGTTGCTACCAAGCTCAGTGGGCTAGGATGAGAAAAGGAGGAAAATAAATATGGACAAATGCAAAAATACAAATACTGTAATACAAAATGGGGAATGACTAGCTAGGCTGCAGCACTGCAGGAAAGAGTAATAATGGACCACAAGTTGAATATGAGTCAGCAGGGGAATATATATCCAAAAAAGCTAATAGCACACTGAAATGTGTCAACAGGGATGTCACATGCAAGTCACAAGAAGTGATTCATCTACTCTCATCATAATCAGCACTGGTGAGACCTCACCTGGAATACTGTTTCCATTTTAAAGCATAGCACATCAAGAAAGATGTAGGCCAGGGGTGCTAAACCTCCAGCCTGTGGGCCAAGCCATTGCATCTGGCCCACGGGGCTCCTCATGGGTCAGGAAATTTGGTGGTGGGGGAGCAGTGGTCATTAATATGGCCACCCTCCCTCCTGCCAGATTCCCAAACCTGAAGCCCTGTGTGGCAAGCTGGGTCCAGGCTATGACCCCTCCTCACCCTCCCAGCCCTGCAGCTGGATCAGGGCTGGACCACATGTTTCCCCTACAGCTGGATAGGGTTCAAGCCACACCCCTTTTCCCCATGGCTGGATCATGGCTGGGCCATGCCCTTTCCCCCTGCAGGGCTGGGTTGGGCCCAGCCACAACCCCTTCCCTCAGTGGAGCTGGGGTGGGGCCAGATCAAGACCCCTTTCCCCATGGGGCTAAGTTGCCCCCCCCCAAGCAGCTGGATGAGTCCCACCACACCTGGATCAGGACCACCAGCCAGATCCAGCCTGCAGACAGACCAGGCACTGTATATCCAGCCCACTGTCGAAAAAGGCTGAGTACCACTGACACAGACAAATTTGAAAGCATCCAGCAAAGCAATAAGAGAAGATAGAGAGCTAGAAGACATGATAGGTTGTATTTGAAAGTGTGTGGTATGCCAGAAAATAAGATACTCACCTTTTTTTTGCAACACGAAATGAAAAGGAAAAGATTTTTCCAGTCATGCCTGAATTGACTGTAGGAGATCCTGACTTCTTGGAAGAATCCTGACCAGCACTGCTCTGGCAAAAGCTAAATAGAGTATTAATCTTCTCACAACCATGGATAAATTGGCAGGAGCTGCTGGCTGCTCTACCCAAAGCTACTGCCAATTCTGAAGTGTCTGTGAAAGGGTTAGCACTGTAGCTCTGACCCTGACAGTGTAGCTTGCTTGCTGCAGATAGTGCATGCCCCATGTATGCTGTGTGCACAGCGAGCCCTGGGGCAGCCCCCAAGTTCCTGCCCAGCTACCCCACCCCTGCCCCCCCGGCTGCATTAGCAACCAGTCTTCAGACTTCTTTCCTCCAGCTGATAGAAGCCGTTTGCTAAGTACATGCTTCTGCAGCTCCTCACATTGAGTAGTGCTTTCTTATTCAAATAAGCTGTTTTTAGTTACTTTCTAGATATGTGTAAACATAAATTATTGGTGAGCTATGAAATATGTTTGGCAAAGGGCATAGTTTGATTAAACTAAGTACAACAGAGCATCTCTGAATAGTTTAAGTTTCAGTTTAATTTCAAGGCTTGATTTTTCTTTTAAAATTGTAAAGAGCATCTCAGCTAGAGATTATAAAAGGATTTTTGCATGGGATAATTATGATTCTTAGAAATACCAGCAAAAGGAAATAGGCAGGAAGGAGTCCACTTTAGCTGGCTGTATTTCCCAGTAGTAATCTTCAATAGGCATCGGTATGGAAGAAAGTCAGGGGTAAGCATATCATGTGGGGGGGCTTTAAATATCTAGTTATTCAGAGCACCAGAGTATGACCCCACCCGATACGGGATGCAAAAACATCATCATGCTGTTAAACAAAAGCGTTCCAGATAAACTAAAAGCCGCCAGATGACCCTGGAAATTTAGTACCCAAATTGCGTGACTTGAAAATCTGGTCAAAGCAAACATGGCTGTAGGCCTTAAGTGTTGTACTTTAGTAACCATAGCAGTGTGGTCCCTGGAGGTCACAATGCTAGTGAATTTTCCTTTACTTCAAGGAAGAGTAATAAAAAATGTGGCTTGGAACTGTTCTTTTTTTCTTATTTTTACTATGCCATGACCTTGACCAAAATATCTTTGAAGTGTTTGCTGGCAGATTTTCTGCTGTGAGATCAGAAAAATATCAGGATATATAAAGGAAGTTGCCAAAGGAAGTCCTATCTTCCTCAAAATATTTGTCTTCATTCCCAGAAAGAACCTCTTTATTAATAAATATTTCTAAAACCTCTTAATGGAGAAGACTGATAACTTTCATCTCACAGCTACTGTAGACGGCAGTATAATAGTGAATTGGCTTTGAACTGACAGTTCAATTATTAATTTTTTTGAGTAGCAGGTACAGTGTTTCGTGAGTACATAATTGGATATAAACATTCTGAAAAAAGACCAGAGCCCAAAACTTTATGCCAAGGCCTTTTTCCATTTAGAAAAAAAGTGATTCCATTTTTCATGTACAATGTAAGAAACTCATGGAAGTGTTTTTTTAAGGAAGGCCAAACACAAACAAACAAATGTTCACAATGCATGTTTAAGTCTGCCTCACATGTTTCAACTTTTGTCCTGGATTAGAAATTCCATTTGTCATTGAATCCATATGGTTTAACCAAATGGTATTTTACAATAATTTGTTTTTCAGATTAAAAGCTAAGGTTGTTCTTAGTTGTTATTGCTTTAATGGCCGCTATAAATTCTTTAAAAAGGTAATATACTCAAGGTTTAAAAATTGTTTTGGTAGTCACTTGGAGCCAGATTCTGTATCACAGATTGGGCATCTAAAAGAATTAGGTGCCTACATATAATTCTGTTCCACGCAGCTCAAGTCCTGAAAATTCATTAACGCGTCTACACACAGTCACGCACACTGCCTTCTGATCCTTCAGTTACAAAAAAGCTGCACGGAGGAGAAAGCCCTACCCATCTTTTGCATTAACAGTATTTCGGGGAGTCAAACTGTGAGCAGTAGAATCATACTTGGATACCTAAGTCTGGTTGCATATCTAATAGATGAAATAGGATCTAGCCCCATAAGTATACAGAAAGAACAACTTGCACACATGCTTGCAGAATTAGACTGTTTAAACATGTCTTTGTTTTTGAAAATCTTAGAATGCTAGTCCTTTTTGAACTTCCATGCATGGGAGTAGGTTGTTGTAAGATGCTGTGTTTCTCTCCTATGCATGCTTCCCATTCCATAAGTAACAGCTTGAGGGCCAGTACAGTGTCTGCGGGGCTACTACATTCCCTTCCCTGCACATTTGGGTGGGTGCAGGTACAGAACAGGAAATGGATGTCAGTTCATCTACTGAATTAAGCATAGGGTGCAGAGAATTTCCCACCCCTAGAGCAAGGGGTTAATAGGGACAAATTCCTGACATTCAAGGATGGGGGAGGAAGGAACAGTATAGTAATGTATTACACTGCATACTAAACCTGTAGGAAAGCCTAAAATGTTAATTTAAAAATTGGAGTTGAGAACCGTTCCAGTGGCAAAAGATGTGATAATGTAAACCTCTGCCTAACTATTCTGTTAACTCTGCATCCAGAAAATCTGAAACGATAATATCAGGACAGATGTGGTAGGCACATAGTCTTGTTGTAGCTGTGATGCTTCAGGGAATATGGGAGAAATGAGGTTTGTTTGGTAATATCTAACCAACTATATAGCTAAGAGAGGTGTTAGACAAGCTTTCAGGCATAAAATGCCATTCTGGGAAAGGTCTGAAAAAGAAGTAGATGTGGCCTAAGCTAACTGTGAGGTAAAACTCCATTATGTAAATGATAATAGTCACTTAAAAGAGGGCAAGAGGGCAGCAAAGAGGACCTATCAAAAGTAGCTATAAACCAAGTGAAGGGCAGCTGAAATATATATACCTAATGATGTAAAACATAAGACCACTCGAAAGGAAAGAGAGTTACTATTACCTGTAGAGCTCAGACAGATTAGCAAAGAGCAGGTAAACTGTAATAAGCCACAAAAATCATTGTTTGTGTTTAGTCCATGATTTTCAGTGTCTAATACAGTTACAAACTTCTGTTCCCAGGCCTGTCTTCTGAAGGTATTTCATTTCCCATCAGGACTTTGAGATCATTGATGGAGTGACTTTTCTCTGACAAATGTTCTCCCACTGGTGATTAGATGTTTCTGTCCTTTTCTCATTCTTGTGTGAGAGTTCATTTGGAGTGCAGTGGTTGTTTAGTTTCACCTATATAATTTCCACAAAGGTATTTGTGGTGACTGTTTATTGTTTCCTGGTCATCTAAGTGGCTACTTTTTGTCACATAGAATCATAGAAAGTTAGGGTTGGAAGGGAACTCAGGAGGTCATCTAGTCCAACCCCCAGCTCAAATCAGGACCATCCCCAATTAGATCACCCCAGCTAAGACTATGGGCGCCTATACACAAGCAGCAAGGCTGCTTCAATGTGCTGTAATTACCAAAGCCCGCTGCGGGAACAGTGCAGGAAGTGAGGAAGCGGTAGCACCTCACTCAAACCAAGGACCCAGCTCTGAAGACTGGGAAGAGCGGAAGGAGCGTGATGCTAGGAGCTACTACCGAGGAGCTGGAGGGAGCAGCAGCCACCCTGATGCCAAACCAGGTGGGACCGTCATGGGCTCCGGAGGGTTTGAGGAGGTGCCCCGGGTGGGGGACAAAGGGCATAAGCAGCGCAAGGGGCTGCAGAAGATGGGTCCCAGTAGCAAAGAGCCACCCCGACAAGGGACGTGGGGGAGGTGTATGGAGAAGGGCCACCGCGGGTCCAGCAAGCCCACAGGCTAGGCAAAGAGGGAAGAGGAGGGCACAGTAGCCTGCAATTTAGCCCGGACCCAGTTTACGACCAACTAGGGACCTTGGGTATATAGGGCTTGGCGTTGGTGGGCAGGCTGTGAGTGTAGATGGCAAGAGGGCAGAGGCCCACCCCCCTCTTTGTATATCTGTATGTTTCTTTGTTGTTGATAACTTTGGTTTCCCACTTTTGGAGGGGTTGCGGTGCAAGGCGTCTAGAGCCCTAGCGTTGCTTAGGCCTAAAAGGGGTTACTATCCCCTGGGAGGCAAGGCAGGGGTTAGGCGCTGTGGCCGGAGGTAGGGTTAGGCCCGGCAGGCTGATAACCATCCCAGCGAGCATACGCAGAGCCCCAACAGTCGGGGAAACCGACCGAAGGACATTGTGAACCTGTCAAGGCAGGGTGGTAGGGCGAGGTAGAGGGGAGGTGGAGCCTTGCAGAAGATCTCCATGCAGCTGTCCCATAGTTGAGAGACCCCCGGTAGTCGGACACCCACCACTGGAACAAGATCCAAAGTCATGGCAGGAGTGACTGGGGAGAGACTACATGGGAGAAAGACATCCACTCAGCAGGACAGTGGGGATGGACAGACAAACACCCCCAAACATCTGGGTCCGCACGGCGCGTGACCGGATGTTCGAGACCAGACGGGCACAGTCCACTATAACCCCTGGTCCTTTTCTGCAGAGCCGCTCTTTAGCCAGTCGCTCCCCTGCCTGTACAGGTATCCCTCGCTTTATGCTGCACATGCGTTCCTGGAAAATGGTGCATAATTCAAATTTGCATAAAAGGAGCCCACTTTACAATGTAATAAATAGGGATACATTCCAAGACCTCGACTGTACTGGCCCCAGACACATTTCTACCACTTTTATAAGACAATTTTGGTACTCACCAACAGCAGACAATACACACAAGCACAGGACACGATCATAATGGGGATGGCAACTACAGAAACATGTCTCACAGGCAACAAGCAAGGAGCGCAGATCCACACAGGAGACTGTATTTTGGTGCATGTCACTCCCACAATACACCACACAAAGCGGCTGACTGCAGGCTTCCACCACACCCATTGCATAAGAGTGAATTTGCACATACAGAACCCGCATAAAATGAGAGAAAGCTGTGCTGGTGCACAGGATTCTTCTGTTCTAAGCGTAGGACTTTGCACTTGTCTTTATTGAACCTCATGAGATTTCTTTTGCTCCAGTCCTTCAATTTGTCGAGGTCTTTCTGAATCCTAGCCCTACGCTCCAGTGTATCTACTACTCCCCCTGGCTTGGTGTCATCTTCAGACTTGCTGAAGATGCACACTGTCCCATCTTCCAAGTTGTTGATAAAGACATTGAACAAAACTGGCCCCAGGACCAACCCCTGGGGCACTGCACTTGATACTGACTGCCAACTAGACATTGAGCCAGTGATTGCTAGCCTGTGAGCCTGACAATCCAGCCAAGTTTCTATCCTCCTTACAGTCCCTTCATTCAAACCATACTTCCTTAGCTTGTTTGCAAGAATGTTGTGGGGGGGCCATATCAAAAGCATTGCTAAAGTCAAGGTATATCATATTCACTGCTGTCTCCTTATCCACAGAATACCAGCTTGGCTTAGCAGGGAACTCTTCCATGAGCTAAAACACAAAAAGGAAGCTTACAAGAAGTGGAAACATGAACAAATGACTAGGAAGCAGTATAAGAATAGAGAATGTATTTTCCATGTATAGTATCTCATTTTGGAGGGTTTTCTTAATTTAATTTCCCCCCACTACTGCAGCAAGGCAAGCAGTGTCAGGGGGGCAGGCAGCATGGGTGCTGGTGGTGGCAGAAGAGTCAAGTGGCTGAGAGTTGATTCAGGTTTTGCACTGGTATTTAAGCAGGGTTTTATTCCATTTGGTGTTTGTTGATCAGCAAGGAGTTTGCGTCTGATGATGAATTGAACGAGGCTGGGAAGTTGTTCATAAGGCAGGAGTAGAGGAGGGCTGGGAATATCTTCTTCAAATAGATCCTGTCACTGTTTGCTGATCTTTCTGGCAGATTCTAGTGTGAGTTGGTGTGTGATGATAAAGGGCTTGCTTTCTTTATTACAGTAGGCTTGTGCAGGGTACTCGGGTGGATTGTTCAAAGATGCAATCTCTGCTGGAGCGTCCTTGCTGGGTAAAAGATGTTTTCAGGTTGATGACATGGCTGTTATGGGTATTCTCCTCCAAATTAAATTTTAAAAAAAGCATTTTTTTACCTGATATTTAGTTTAGGCTATATCTGCTTCATTCCTAGACCTGAGGAAACACATCATGTGCATGAAAACTTGTCATCATGATAGAGTAACTTCTAAAACTGATTGTCCTGGCCAGCGTACCTGTGTGTTCAAGGAAATGCAGGGGAAGGACCTTACTGCCCCCACTAACAAAACTCTATGAACTTGATCAGAAACATGGAAGCTCTCTGCCTAGAATGACAATTTTGTAGAGAATAATGAATACAGAACCCCATAGGAAAAAGGGGGAGAACAGGATTGGTTTAAGAGGCCAAATGTTGTCCTTTGCCCAGTAAGTTTACTAACATGTAATGGTTGTTGCTTTCTTCTTGTCCCTAAAACTGGCAGGTCCCTCTCTGCTTTATCCCAGCTGTGTCAAATAAAAGAGGAAGACTATATCTATCAGGCTAGCTATAATATCCTGCATACTCTTTGCAATAGATAATTATAGGGCCTCTCATTAAGTTTTGAGACAACTTTAATAAATACGGAAAACTGTGAAGTCGAGGCCAAGAAATGTTAGCATTGAGGTTATGTTCTCTATCCAGCTCTACTTCTCCGTACTAGCTTGTTTTACCTAACAGAATTTCCCACCAAAGCAAGCTAACTACCACCCAGAAGTGCTGAACAGCTTCCACCTTTGTAAAAGCCAAAGAGCACTGGATATTAGGGATGGTCATCAGTCTGCAGTGTCCAACCTTATGATGATTTCATGTGCTTTTAAGATATCACTTGTGTATTCCCAGATGTGGGTTGGTTTATCCATTTGTTTTTCTTGTGACACATTCTTTGTTTTTCATTGCCTCAGCTAATGTGTAGGGGAAAGCTGTAGGCTCTCTTGAATGCACACGAAGAGCATAAAGGAAGTCACATGCTCCTCAGTTAGTTTCTGCAGAGATTTCCAGTCCGCCCCAATTTAAAGGCTGACAGCTGTTTAAAATTTAAGAAAATTCCTAGCATCATATCATTGTTGGTTTTATTGCTGCAAAAAAGGGTCCAAAAAGACAAGATGCCAAAAATGCTTTCTTGTCCATATGTTGAAATATTTTATTTGATATTGTTGATGGATAAGACAGACACCAACCATAGAGATTCCTCTCAGCACAGTGAAAGGCATACATGGGAAGAAGTAATCCTCCTGGTACTCTGTTTTTTTTATTTCATGTGACAGTGGTAGAAGACCATCTATGGCCATGTTTCCACTTAAAAACCACATTTCAGCAATTGGTTTTGCTGGAAGAGCAAATAGGAGAAAGTAATTATTAGCACAATTTCATCAAGTCAAGGTTGACATCTGTTAGCAGAGCCGTTGCCAGTATGGGAAACTAATGCCAATCATAGTTTGCCCTTCACTTTCTTACAGAAAACCCATGAGCAGCAGCAGTTCAGCTAAACCAGTTGCATAAACTAGAGGTAGCCCACCTGCCACATGGGTGCTAACGTGGCACTGGCAACCTCTGTGTGTGGTATGCAGCATATCGAGGATGGGAAAGGGAGAACAGAAGGCAAATAGGGAAGCAAAAGGCAGAGCAGCATATTGGGCAAGGGGCAAAGGGCTGGGAGCAGAAAACAGCAACAGATCAGGCAGGGGAAGGGGATTGGAGTGGCACTTGGGAAGATCATGGGGGTAATTTGTGGCACACCTGCCAAAAAGGTTGGCCCTGATTGGCATGAACAATGAGAATTTCTAATGCTGGCAGGTCCTTGAAGTCTTTCTCATGAGCCTTTCTGGTCTTCTACTTCACACTCCTTGGGGCAAAGCACACCCTGTGGTGTCTGAGCACACAGAGCCATACTTTCAAAGGTGCTCAGTACTTATAACAGCGGCAGATTCCTGCCATCTGTCTGACTTCGTACTAACACAGCTAACCACCTCTTTGTATAAGGAAGGAGGAATTCAGTCTGCAGTTGTCAGCTCTTGTTTCATTGTCACATGCCTATGTGGCACTTTCATAGCTGTAAACACAATTTCAGGGACTTGTGCACATTTAGAGATTCAGTGTAGCTACACTTGCACTATGCTTCCTTTCCTTCACTTGTCAAGTAGGCATATGCATATGGAGATACGTGGGAGGAATAGGATTGTCAGGCAGGTTTTGAAATTGTGCATAAGTTCCAGTTACACAGCTACATACCTGACACTTAGGTGTGTGAAAAGGAAATTGAATTTAATCCTATATATAGGAGAAGCTAAATCAACATGCTGTAGATCCTGCCTCATATCTTCAGGGCAGTAGCACTCTATTTTAGAAGATCTAAGTAATATAAATATCTGTTCAGGAAAGAACTCTATGTTCCATCTTCCTACTGTGTAGTTATTCCATATAGGACAGCTAGGAAAGAGCAGATTAGAAAATGTGATACAAAATTTTACTTCTTGTAAGGGAGCAAAATATTTTTTTGCTGATTTTTTTAATTCTTTATTTTATCTCCCTTCTCTAGTCACTGAATGGTTTTGCACTGGTGGTGAGTGCAGATGGAATGATATTTTATGCATCATCGACTATTGTGGATTATCTCGGCTTTCATCAGGTAAACATATACAAATATTTAGACTGCTAGAAGTCATACTATCTTACTGTTTTCCTTGCACTCATTCCTTGGGGTAACCTATCATGTACTATACACTGTTTTGCCATGTCTCTTTACAGTTGACTAAACATAAAATGTAACTGGATTTTTTTTTACAATGCAACTTCAGACTAGGATCTTTATTGGAGTTTTCCTATTTTGTGAGAAACTGTGTGAACATGTGTTCTTGTTCTTGTTCATGTTGGTTCTAGGAGAAGTTTTGGCTACTCTGTCATTCTGAAGGTTTGGTTAATGAAGACATGAATTGCTACTAATGTAGAATTTATTGCAGTTTATCCCTTCAGTTTCATAGTCAAAACCTACAGTTCAAGGCTGGGAAGCTATTAGTACTAAATGCAAAAAAAACTGGACTAGAAAAACATTTTGGCTGATATTTTACACGTACACAAAATCAGGTAATTAAGAGTTAAAGCTAAAAAGTAGTTTAAAACACAAAAAGTAATTATGTGGAAGTCAGGAAATCCAGAAGTATCACTCCTCACCCAATCTTAGCTCTGACTCCACATCTCCAGCAGCCAGCCTTCTAATAGGTACTCTGGGATAATGGGAACCCCTGATTGAGTATGCTTACAATTTAAATATTTCTTACTGTAATAATTTCAGACTGATGTAATGCACCAAAACATATATGATTACATCCATGTGGATGATCGCCAAGATTTCCGTAGACAACTGCATTGGGCCATGAATCCTCCACAGGTGGAGTCTGGGCAACATTTACCAACTGAAACAGGTGAGCGTACATAATGTTCACTGGAGATACAGGAACTGCTCTGCTGCTTCAGAACAGTGGTCCACCTAGTCTGGTGGACCTTGGTTAAAGCCAGATCCTTAAAAGAAAGGTGCAGAAAGGCTTGTGGTGGACCTGTACAATGTAATTAGTTCATAAGAGAGTTGTTTTCCTAACTCTGGACCGCTAGAAGCTGGCTTATGCTTGAAGCATGAGAGTTTCTACTTCTTTCCTATCTAATGTAGTTAAGGATGTTCTTAGCAGCCATATAAATAGTTAATCATGCTTAGCTCTTGTCTTCATTCAGCAAGATATCAGTATTTCTCTCAATCCATTCAAAAAATATCTTGTGTAAAATGTTCAGAACACTACCACCCCAGCAGTATCTCTGTTGCTGTCATCCAGTTTGCTTTCCCATGAGAAGTTATGACAGGACACTTTTGGAGGGTAAGGGTTTTTCTGCATCACATAGTTGGTAGTTTTGGGGGATTGACGCTTGTGAGCATGCTCCACCTACCCACTCCCACCTGCCAAACCCAGAAATGTAGTGGCAAAGCTGCTCCAAGGTAGCCCTGGGCAGCCACTCTGGAGGTCTCTGTCTTCAGTGCACTTGAGAGCAGCGCCAGGGGTTGCCACTGAAGTGGCTTCACTGCTGGACTCCCATGTTTGGCACCTGTGAACACAAACAGGTGAGCAGGATGTGCTGAAGCCAGTCCTTCCTAAGTTCGCCAGGGATGTGGTGTGGATGTATTCTATGTGGGCACAGTAGCCTATTCATTCTCAGGGACATGACTGCCCCAGCATGATGTGATGGCACCCTGTACTTTCTGTCAGATGAGGGATAAAACAGAAATCATGACTGCTTTGGGGCATTAAAGTTCCCTGACACATTCTGTAAGAAGAATACAATAGTGATGTAGATATCCCCCACCAGAATCCTTGCCTCTTGCAAGGTCCTGGCTGCTAGGTACTTCTAAGGGGGCGTGCACAACGAGGAAGCACCCACAGTGGAAGCACCCACAATGAGGTGGAATGACGTTTGGAAACTTGTGGTCCTTCCTAAAAGTGACCTAGTGATAAGTCTTGTAGGGTTATTCATTGTTTGAAACGTATTTTGTCAGCTTCTTTTAGCCTGCTATAGTCCAAATATATTAGGTGCATTACACCTTTGTTAACTGTAAATAACTGGAATCTGATAAATCACATGTAGGTAGGGAGAAAGAATCTGGCCAGTAATACTAGTCAAGTGGGAGGTCTTGTATGCCCTTTCAAATTCCCCAGAAATTTTAAAATGTGAATTCAGTTGGTCTTTTAGGAAGCAGGGAAGAAATAAATATTTTTTTAATGAGACCCAATGAAGTGAATATTTCCTGAACTCTGAAGACTATATATTGTTTGGATGCAAAGGTATGAACATTTTGAAATTTTGTTCTTGGTTTGTACAAGAGAGAATTTAATTAAATCTCTGAGTTCAGCACTCTGGAGAAATAGTTGCTCTTGAAAAATGCATACAGCAAAAATGGAGCACTTTTGCTTCATAACTGATATATAGTTTGTTAAAGAACTGAAGAGACATGGAGTGAAATTTTACTGACTGGCATCTATTAGTCTTTCATTTGCATTTCCTCCTCATTTTCTTCCTTTTTTGTCATTTTTCAAAGGCAAAAAGCTTTGTTATTCAAGATTGATTTTTTAATGGCTAAAAATCACTAGGAGTTAAGAAAGTTAAAGTTTACCCAGGAAAGTTAATTTGACTGAACAAACTATATTAGGCAATTGTTATAAATAGTTTTGAATATTTACATTTAATATTCTATAAAATTTTTTTTTTTAGTAATTTCACTTACTGTGTGGTCAAATCAGTATATAACATTTTCATTCTCAGTTAATAATATGCCCTGACATATATTGGCACATTGTTACTTGTAGGAGAAGATCATATGCTCAATAAATTGTTTAAAGCACAAGAATGTGACGGTGTGACAACAGACTATTCTTCCTTTTTAACTCGCTGTTTCATCTGTCGAGTTCGCTGCCTGTTGGACAGTACTTCTGGCTTTCTTGTAAGTACAATTTTGTGACAAGAGCTATGATTGAGTAATACTGATTGAAATGACTAAAATGAACCCAAGCGCATGTTTTATGCATTAGGATGAGAGACAATTTTAGGAGGATCTCTGAGCGACACCATTGGTTTTATTAGTAATAGTATTAGTAACAGCAAAAGTAATAGTTAACAGATTATGAAGATGACATTATTGTTATTTATAATAGTAGTAGTAGTAGTAATAGTGGGCACATCTACACGTGCTTTAATGCACATTAGCCTATTTTAACGCACATTGAAGTGTCACAAAAAACTGCTCTTTCACGAATGCACATTAAAATAGGCTGATGCACATTTTTCTACTGGCTTACAATAAAGGTACTAGATTTAGTGCACATTACCTAAAGCGCATTAATGAACATGTAGACATGCCCAGTAGTAGTAATGCCATTACTTAATGGAACATTAGAACTGTACTGAATGACAGTCCTGTTACTGGCACAGAAGTAGCATTCCTAAGGTTAAAGACCCATATTACTAACGTTGCATCTTCTATTTTAGGGTGTTGTAAATGCTCAGTAAAAACATATAAAATACTTAAAAGACAAGAACATATTGGAAAGTTATGTGATTGTAAGACATAAAGAAATCCATAGGGTATTTGCATACAAATATATACTGTTACTCTAAAGTTACTATTTTAATTTATATTCAGTTTAAAAGTCTTTTCTTTGTACATGCCATCCCCAAAAAAGAAATATCACTGTCAAGGATAGCATGATGATGACTCTTCCAAATAGAAAGTAGAGAAGAAAAATGATTGTCTTGCTCAATCTTTTTGGTACCTCAGCCTGGAACCAAATGAGTCCATGCATCAGTTCTATACTATACCATTTTATCTTTCCCATGAAGAGACAGATAAGATGAAAAAAAAGAAAAAATATGCTCATGTGATAAGAGCTGTGGAGAAAGTGTGGTTTGAGACTTCTGAAGTCTCAGAGCTCACAGTCTCAAAATGGAAAGCATAATCCTATTTGTTAGCACTTCTTTACAAGTCCCCTTGCTCTGAGCCATAAGAACAAAATCTTTCCCAGGAAAGGCATCACAAAAGTGGCCTCTGATCTAGGGAGCCTGACATGAATAAAGTGTATGTGTTGATATAGGATGGGAAGAAGAATTCTCTCTGACTATCTTGGTAGCTGAAGTAAGCAGTAAGCAGACTTGCATATAACCTTCTCCCCTCTACACTCGACAGCGTCAATGAATACATGTGATATGGAATGTGTTTGTGAGGAATGGTAGATTTTTTTAGGATGAAACATCTTTTAATTTTTTATTTGTTAGTTCTTCCCTGCCATAACATTAACAGAATTAGGTTCTACTTTTGTCATCAATGACTTGATTCCATTTGTTCTACATCAGACAAATAACTTTTAAAAAATATTTATTATTTTTAAAAAAGCATTAACATATTCAATTCATATAAAACATAAAATAATTAAATTCAAATGCTCGGCTCACTTTTAGATTGCTTTTGGGGAAGGACCTGTCATCTACTATATGTTTGTATGCTGTCCAGTTTTAGCTTTTAGCTACTACTGTAATATAAATATTAAGTAAAATCAACATGATCATCTCACAGATTTGTCAAATGGAAAAATCTTTTGGAATTCTCCTAAAAGACTGTAAATATGGTCTGCATTCAGGTCTCCTGGGTTTCTTCTCAAACCTTAGGAACAATGTTGTTCTCTGCTTAGTGCCCCACTCCGGGACAAAACAGTATGGAAGAAGGCAAACCCAGAAGGAAACTCCCAACTTGTCTAAATCCCTGCAGTCAGACTGTGTGTAGGGCTTGAGGGCTTCATACATGGTCTGAAGACCCCTCCCAGTCATACACACTATCTTGACACATTGAGCTTATATACCATTCTTCCCAGTGCCTAGATTTTATCCTATTGGTGTTTTTTTCAGAGGAGAGACATGTCTTAACAGTAATTATTAACAGGAAAAGAAAACAAGCATAGAGCATTAAGGAGAAGGAGAACTCAGGAATCTTCATACTGGACAGATTAGAGCATGGAAAAATAATTCCAACTCCAGCTCCAGGCTAAATGATATAGGAAATAACTACATATGGTGTCATCAGCTGCTCGTCTGGGCTAACAATGGAGAACTTCTGCTCCAGTCACACAGGAGGATAAAAGGCAGCTTTAAAAGTCTCACTCTATAATTAATGCTATGTCCAATGACCTTGTTTGGGTTGATTTTTCTGCCAACCACACTTTAAACAGGGTGAAGATAACGAAAAACTGAGGTCTCTGTCTGAGAACTGACATAACATGAATACACTCATTATTATTTGAGCATTACAGTCTGTAGAACAAAGTATCAAGTAAAATGTTTTATACGTGGAATACTGACAGGTATTTTCTTGTGTTTGTTTATATAACAGACAATGCAGTTTCAAGGCAAACTTAAGTTTCTTTTTGGACAAAAAAAGAAGTCCCCTTCAGGAGCAATATTACCACCTAAGCTGTCCTTATTCTGCATAGTGGTGCCACTTCTGCTTCCTTCTGTCATGGAGATGAAGATGAAAAGTCTGCTCATGAAAACAAAACAGAAAGCTGAAGAGGCATCCACAATAGACACAAAGTATTTTTAAATGAACATCTTAATATGTGTCATTACTGGGACTTTATAGTTAAAAAAAACTTGTTAAAAACACAGATTATTCTAAATCGGGGTGGCCAGCCTGTGATGTGCCACAAGTGGCACAGGCAACTGCTGCTTGTGACACATGAGCCCTCAGTAACGGGAGGTTGAGGAATGGAGGCAGGAGCAGGGGAAGGATGCTGCTGAGAGGAGGTGTCAGGTGTCACCATCAAGAGCCAAGTTAACTCTTCCCATGCCCTGCATTTAAGGGGTTTGAATCTTCACTCGCCATATAAAATTGGTGGTTGCAGGGTATAGCAGGAGGCTTAGTGCTCCTGGTACTTTAAGAGAAGACAGACTGCAGATAGAGTAGTCTGCAGGTGCTGCAGGAGGCAATCGGGAGTCATTTGACCCAAAAGGGGCTGGGCTTACAGAATATAAGCCCAGAGCCTGAGCTGAGGCAATAGTCTGATCCTGGCAGCTAAGACTTAAAGAACTCCTGAACAACAGGGCTGCAGCCAGGCTTCTTGCAAACACCTAAGCTGGGGTAAGCAGGCAGATAGTTGTGAGAGCAAGGAGGATCAGGGACCCATAGCCTGCAAGGGGTGAGAGGCAGAGTCAGTGACTCATAGCCCAGGCAGGGTGAGTAGGGCTAGGGAGCCCAGAGGTCTCAAGTGGCCTAGGAGCAGGGTCAGAGCCCAGGAGCCAAAGGTCAAGGAGGGACCACAGCCACAGACTGCTGGGGCCAGGGAGCCTGGAGAGGTCAAAGGTCCAAGAGAGGCCACTGTGGGAGACCAACAGGGTCATGGACCTGTAGCCCAGAGAAGGGCAGAATCAGGCCCAGGGGCCCAGTGCCTCATAAGAAGTGAAATTAGGGTCAGGGATCCAGGGCCTCACCCAGGAGTAGCCAAGATGAGCAAAGTGCCCGGGTATGGGGAGAGAGAAACAGCTTGATAGCAAATGAGAAAAGCTATGAGACATAGTGTGAAGGACAGTTGGAGCCACATGATTAGCCTTTAAGGTGCAGAGTGGAGACACCCAAGTTCAAGAGTGTGAGATCTGACTTGGGAAGCCCTGGGGCAGCCTCTCTTTTTCTAAAAGACAAATACATCAAGGCACGGCAGGTGGGTAGATGTAGAGATTGTCCAGAAGACAACAAAGTTGATGAGGGCTAAGGGGGCTCCAGGGGCATCACAGCCACCCCTGGAGCAGGATCCTGTTACACAGCACCACAATAGAGTTAACCTGGGAAGGATTGTGAGCGCCTTGGAGGATGGGAGCACAATTCACAAGGATCTTGACAGATTGGAAGCCTGGGCTGGTGTTAGCAGGAATAAGTTTAGTGCTGACAAATACAAAATGCTGCACCTCAAGAAGAATAAAAAATTACACAGACAAAATGAGTGACACCTGGCTGGATGGCAGCACTATGGAGAGGGATCAAAGAGTCCTGGTGGATCCCAGATCCAGTATGAGACTGCAGTGTGATTTAACTGCACAAAAGACAAATGCAGTTTGGGAGTGCATCAATAGGAAGATTAGAAGCAAGGCATGGAAGGTGATAGTCCCTGTTTAGTCAGCACTGCTTAGGCCCCATCTGGAGTAGTGTGTTCAGTTTTGGGCTCCACATTTAAAAAAGGACATGGAGAAGGTAAAGAGGGTCCAAAGTTAGGCAACAGAAATAACAAAGGGCTTGAAATGCAAGCCGTACAAGAAGAGGTTTAAGGAAATAGGCATGTTTTAACTTGTGGAAAAGATGCTTAAGTGGGGACATGATAGTAGTCTGAAAATATCTGAAGGGCTGCCATAAAAAGAGAGAACACCTTTTTTTTCCCATTGCTTCAGAAAGCTGGACACAGACCAATTGCTTGAAGTTGCAGCAAAGTAGGTTAAGAACAGATACCAGGAAAAATGTCTTCACTGTTAGAACCATGAGGTAGATGATAGACTACCTAGGGAAGCGGTGGAATCTCCATCTTTGGAGGTGTTTAAGAAGAGGATGGATAAGCATTGGTCAGGAAGGATAAAGAAGCAGCTGTGCTTATTATCTACTATAAATATTCCCCATGCTTCTAAGCTTTGCTGGTTACTACGTGGGACTAGGAAGGAATTATTTTCCCCTACATCTGGGGTAGAGGGGGAAGGAAGGGGTTCACCTTCCTCAGATGCATTGGTTGTTGGCTGCAGCCAAAGCTTGGGATTATGACTGGGATGTGCTAGTACTCGTGCTGCACATTTGTGCGATCCTTGCAGCCGCAGGATACTGGCTGCCATTGTCCCTCTGCATTACCTGTGGCAGGTTAGTGTGCCATGCCTTGTGGTTTTATGACAGGGTTGATTGTATAGTTTTAGAAATGTGTTAGATAATATTTGTATGGTATGGCTTGGATAGGGATGATCCTGCCTCAGGCAGGAAGGTGGACTAGATGACCTTCAGAAGTCCCTTCCAGCTCTATGTCTTTGATTCTAGTCACCTTGTTCTTGGCAGTGACACCTCTCTCAAACCTGTGCTCTACCCCTACTCTACTCTGCATGGCTGGAGGATTAGAATCATAGAAAATTAGGGTTGGAAGGGACCTCAGGAGGTCATCTAGTCCAAAAAAGGACCATCCCCAACTAGATCATTCCAGCCAGGACTTTGTTGAGCCAGACCTTAAAAACCTCCAAGGATGGAGATTGTACCACCTCTCTATGTAACCTGTTCCAGTGCTTCACCACCCTTCTCATGAGAAGGTTTTCCTAATATCCAACACAAATCTCCCTTGCTGCAACATGAGACTATTGTTTCTTGTTCTGTCATCTGTCACTGCTGAAAGCAATCTAGCTCCATCCTCTTTGTAACCTCCCTTTAGGTAGTTGAAGGCTGTGCTTCAGGTAGTTAAAGGCTGCTTGGCAGTGCATCTTTGAGTGCCTGCCACTTTAAGGGCTGGAGGCAGGTGGCCGGCAGGTGCTTGACTGAGGCGCCCATTTTCAAACTTTGGCAAGCCAGGCAGAGGCAGCAGTCTGCTGCCAGCTGCCGAGGCAGTAACATCAGCTAGCTGAGCTACTGCTCGTGGACCATCTTGGAGTTAAGGGAAGGAGCTATGGGGATGGTTGGAGACTCCTGGTCCTGGGCATGACCCAAAACTGCACTCTGCCGGGGAAGGGGGGTCTGGCAGGGCTGTTGGTGGCAGGACAGCCCCCAAGAAATACCAGACCACATACCCTCCTTGGTGAAAGGCAGGTAGGGGTGCCTTAACCCTGGCCCCCACCATCTGGTGAGTAGTGGTGAGAGTAGCAGGAACAGTGTGGGCCAGGTGTGCTAATAATGAGGCACCTGAGCCCAACAGGTGTGTGAGATCCCGGAGGCCCCAGAGGGGTAGTTTGTCATGCATATTTTGAGGGCCCACACAGAGTAGGGTGTAACTGGGGCACCTGAAAGACTGTGCTAGTTGGGTGCAAAGTAGGGATGCACAGGGCAGCTTGAAGGACTGCACCAGGGGTGTACTGAGTAGGGCTGCACGGGTGTCCTGAAGGGTGGTACATGGGTCTACCCCAAGTGTGTGTGCATGAAACCAGTTGCCCAGTGGGGGGGGCTTGGGGCAAAAGCAGCTCAGCGTCAGCACAAGGCGACTCCATGCAGAGCAGGTGAACTTGCAGGATCCGAAGTTGCTGCATGGTAATGCCAGAGAGAGAGTAGTCAAGCCCAAAGGCCCAAAGGGCTTGCTCAAGGGGAGCAAGGGCAGTAGAGAGTGGCCCAGTAATGGGTGGTATGCTAGAGGCCCCTGTGAGAGGGGGCAGCGTGAGTGAATGTGGGTGAATGAGACCAACAAAGGACTGAGTTTGCTCCTGCCTCAGACCAGGGAGCAACAGTAATAATGTGGATGCCATCTGCGAGACATAGGCCATGGTGTAGAGAAGGTTCGGAGCTGTGGATAGCACCCCCTGGCATCAGGGTAGTGAATGGGCAGCCTCCCGCCTAATATATCAGAATTACATTCGAGTCATGGCAGGTGAGTCAGGGCAGACTGTCCTCGGCAGGTGGGTTGGTTAACTTGTGATCTAGCCCAGTGGTCTCCAAACTTTTTTGATCGTGCACCCCATCAGTAAAAAATTTTTGAGCACACACCCCCAATATATGTACATTTATATTCACGCACCCCTATCAGTAAAAAAATTTTGAGCACACACCCCCAATATATGTATAAATATAAATAGAAGTTCTAATATTTTCTTCCCGCACCCCAATGGATTGTCTTGCGCACCTCCTGGGGTGTGCGCACCTCTCTTTGGAGACCACTGATCTAGGCCTGGGAAGGCCCCGTCACAGGCCACTACCAAATCCCCCCTAAATTCTGTCTTCCACAAACTAAATCAGCCCAGTTCCCTCAGCTTCTTCTCAGAAGTCATGTGCTCTAGCCCCCTAATAATTTTCATTGCCTTCCATTGGACTCTCTCCAATTTGTTCACATCGTTTCTATAGTGGGAAGCCCAAAACTGAACACAGTATTCCAGATGTGGCCTCAGCAGTGCAGAATAAAGGGAAATACTTACTTCCCTCAATCTGCTGGCATTGCTTCTACTAATGCAGCCCAGTGTGCTGTTAGCCTTCTTGGCAACAAGGGCACACTTCTGACTCATATCCAGCTTATTGTCCAATGTAACCCCCAGGTCCTTTTCTGCAGAGCTGCTGCTTAGCTAGTTGGTCTGAAGTCTGTAGTGGAGCATTTTTCGGTCCACTTGTCCTTACTGAACCTTATGAGATTTCTTTTGGCCCAGTCCTCCAATTTATCTAGGTCACTCTGAATCCTAGTCCTACCTCCTGGTGCATCTTCTACACCCCGCAGCTTGGTATCATTCACAAACTTGCTTTGGGTGCAATCCATCCCATCTTCCAGGTTGTTGATGAAGATATTAAACAAAACTGGCCCCCGGGACTGACCCCTGGGGCACTCCATTTGATACCAGTTACCAATTAGACCTTGATCCCTTGATCCCTGCCTTTTGAGGCCAATGATCCA